AATGCATGGAGCAATAAATAGTGATGCTTGTCAGCAATTTTTTATTCAGAATATTTTCACTTCTAGGTTGATTCTTTTCTTTTCTAATTGTTCTTTCCCTTCTTTCACCAGTCATTCATTTCTGCTTCACTCTCCCTGCCTCCTTTTCCACTCTTTCATATCATCTTAATTTCGATCTTGTAACCTGCCTCAGTTTTTCATTTACCTTTAATTTTTCATAACAAATTTTCCGATTTTTTACTCCTCTCTTCCTCCTCCCTCCGATAATAACAGTGGAATTAATGTGATGTTTACAAGATTTTCCAGCAATCACCCTGCTTAAATGTTATATTTCCTCCCTAATCCTCTTTGCCTGGTTTGTTTAGACTACAAGCTCATCATGTCAGGGACCATTTCTCCTCCATGTCTATACTACTGAGGACAAAAGGGTCGTGTTTTCAAATGCCTCCCAATGTTAAAAAAAATAACTGAACCGCCAAACATAATAGCAAGAAGTATTTAAAAAAGCTGTCTACCATTCAGTGTGACCTTGATACCCTGACAAAAATTACTTAGAAGCCAGTAAGACTTCAGCCCTTAAGTTTTAAAGCTATTTTTGGAAGTGCCCAATTATCCAAAAGTTTTAAAGCATAATCAAGGCTCTAGACAACTGCTAATTTTGAAATGTTTTCATGGAGGTAAAACGCTAGAAGATTATACGCAATGAATATGCAAAGTAAACAATTCATACAACATGATGTTGCAATGATTCCCTGACCTTTTTTTGCTAAGGAATGGCAAAATTCGGGTCAGCATACCTGCATCCCCAGCGGAATTCACAGCACTGTCATATGCGGCTGCATCATGCTGGAAGTCTTGCAGGTTTTGAGACCACAACCTCACATTCTCATCCATGGGGGTCGTAGCCTGTGTTACTGTCATAGTAGCACTTACGGCCTCTGCAGTCTTCAGTTTAGCTTGTTCCAAACGCTCTCTGGCCTCCACTACAAAATAAATAGGGGATGAGAAGAAATTAACTCTTTCAAAGATTCAAGGGAGCTATAATCAGTACTTAGAAAGTGGTGAGGCTAACGGGATTTTACCTTCTGCAGAATGGGGACCCAACCTTGCTTGGTTGGTCTTCTCTTTATTTCCACAGGTAATATTCAAAACTTCCTGTGGTTTGTCTACAGTTATATTAATTCTTAAAATGTAATGAATTCTCATTTCCATTCTAGATTGCTAGAAATTTTCAATATCCTTGGACTTTGATGGGTGTTAGACAGCCAAGGAAGTCGGAACAGAGAGAAAAAATACATTGTTTTTTATCAAGCTTTTAAAAGAAAATGCACACATTTGCTGAATATTTTTAATGAAAATTATTTTTGAAGGAGAAAAACCCAAGACACTGAAGTGGTTTGGTTTTTTCATACCTGGCATTTTGAGGTTTGTAATTTTTGGAGTTATCAACTACTGTATTTGTAAAACCTGTGGCATTTTGCATGTGATAATGTCCTGGCAGTAAAACTCAGCCATTTTTACTTGAAGTTGACCGTGTCAACCTTGAACACCTTCAGTTATACTTGCTAGATGCTCTATGATGTCTCTTGTCTGAAAAACTAAGGTGAGGTTTTGTCAATCAAGAATGACAGTAATTATCTCCCAAATACTCTTCTACTTGCCAGGTGTGGTGTATGTGTGAATTAGATTTTGACTATCAGTACAATAAATCCAAAGTCTTGTAGATTCTCCAAGACCTGAAAAGAACAAGATTAACATGGGAGAGGACAACTGTAGTAAGGAAGATCAAGAATAATGTTAATAACTTCAGGTGGCAAAAATATAATTTCATTATGGATGTGTTAAAGCTGCATGTTTGCTATGTAGGTCTTGTAGTTTCAGACAAATTCCTTTAGGCCTCCCTGGGACTGAAATCTTAATACCAACTTCATAGGCCATATGCAAAGATAAAATATGCTCTTAAACATATGAAGATAAAGCATCATAAAGATGAAGTTCGTCTTACAACCTAGCTCTGTTGATTGCATTTTTGTGATGGCTCTCATCAGTTGGCTTCGCAGAGCAATTGTTCTAGCAAGAGTGCCATTAACATGCCGGCTTGTATCTGCAGTGGTTAAATCATTACCTGTGGAGAGAAAATCGGAGGCATAGTTGAGTGGCATCAAAGTGGCATTTAAGAAGGTAAATTTTGACCTGTGGAGGTAAGTTGTTAAGCATTTAGTACACCATAGGCAGTATACTATGGCCTCTTTTAGTATAGGGCATACTAGCACTCTTGACTTCACATAATCTAAAGAAAAAAGCAACCTTGCAGCTCCCAGCAATTACTTGCTTGTCACAGGGTGTCCTAGAAAAATCTGGAGACCTGTATCTCAGTCAGTACTATCTCTGCTTTACCAGAACTGCTGCCAATAGCTGCAACAAGTATACAGGGAAAACTTTTAAGGAACTCAAAAGGTCCTGAAAAATTGAAAAGTTAATTTCTGTGGCTTTAGACCTTTCTTTCGTTTTCAGTGAAATAAGGCCCAAATGCTTGAACATTTATTATTGTCCTTCACTGGTGACATCCAGCCTCCTGAACACTTAAACCGTTGTGAATTGATTTCAGTTAACTACTTGATTGATTATATTTACCTGTGAACAACTGTTTGCAGGATCACATATTTAAACAGTGGTTGTATCTGAAATGGTCCTTTTGTGAATGAAATAAACTTTCAGCATCTGGCAGGATGACAACACGTGAACTACTCAAACTCTTCCTGTGACCATTTCAAGTACTTTGTGTGGTAACTTCGATCAATACGCTATTGTGTTACAGCAGTAGTTCTGCCTTAGTGATGTGCTTTTGAAATTTATTTTAACGTGCATGCTTATAAACTGACTGGGAAAGTAGAAGGGATGTGTATTTACTGTCATCTGCTGTCCGTTGTAGCTCTGCGGCTTGGTTGAGAAGTTCTTCACTTTTACCTTTATGGTAAATAATCTGAGTATCAATTCCAACTGCAGCCTGCAAGAATGTTCCAAAAAAGAAAGTCAGAAATATGCTTATCAAATGTTCCTCTTTATTGTGTTTAATTGTGGACAATATATTGCTTCATATAAATGCAACTGCAAAGTCACTGAGGTTTCATTTGCTTTGTTAGCATTTAGGATTGGCAGTTGAGTTGGAAAAAAAAATCTGAAAAGCAAAAATTTTTGTAGATTGCAATTAAAGTTTAGAGAAATGTATGCTTTTCCAGACACCACCACTGAATAACAAAGATACAGAAAGCACAGAAGTCCTCTTGATTTATCTGCTCCAGTATGGTCAATGTGATACTCATGCTACATGTTGGACACTGTGACTATTCATTTCTACTATCATCTCAGATGGGTGATGAACACTTGCACTGTGTGGGGAGCTACCTGGCAGTCCCCGGTAGCATGCTCAAAGCAGAGGGCTGGACTTGAAATCCCACAGCTCTCTGGCTTTCGGGCTCCTGTAATCTAACAAAATGCTCTTGCTATCCCACTAATAAATTGCTATTAAGTAGCAAGAATATAGGTTGGAAACTATATACATACAAAAATACGTCTAAAATACTTTAGAACAGCAAGGACGGAGACAAAATTAGCATCCTTGTCCCTGCACTGAGTGTGTGAGTGAGCTATTTGCCCCATTTTAGCCTGACTTTCTATGAAAAACGGTGATGCTTCTGTTAGATGTCTTGATCACCTTTCCTGACACATGATGCTGTGTGGAGCAGGAGGACTTGATCACTAAATGCCGTCTCAGGTTCCCACAGGGCCAGGGAGTTGTCTGGACTTTCACACAGATGTGCCTCAGTTTGAGCGACAACACAGAACAGCATCACCCCGTACTTAGGGACAGAAGAACCTGTTGTGTGTTTTTGAATACTAGGGGACTTCAGGCTGGCAGAATAATTAACCACTTAGGATTTAATGCAGGAAATAGTAGATTAAGGAAAACGTGCAGGGCGAAGTTCAATGCTGAGAGTTGAGCTAAATCTTGTTTTTTCTTTATACTTAGGTGTCTGAAGTCCCTGAAGCATTGCAAAGTAAAAGCTGATGTTACAAAAATTACTTACATCGCTGACCCGATTTGTTGTGTTCAGTGCCAGCAATGCAGCTTTATTAGCTTCTTCAATATAACCGGCAATGTTTTCATATGCATTTGAAGCATTTATTGCTCTTTGTACCAAACCATTTGTATCAACGCCGTACAAATTCCTGTTAAAAAGAGAGTAAAAGAAGGAAGAAACCAAACTGAATCAAAGGAGTTTCAAATTTATTAATTTTCTTAACATTCTGTGAATTCTCACTGCATAATCACGCACACAAATATACTTGGCCCAAGTAGTATTCTATTCATTCTGCATGACACTTATGTCAATCTGAAGCAGGTGAAAACTATGTGGATAGAAAGTATTTCCTAGCGGTTTAACTGGGAATTTTGCCCTTAACATCGATGTGGGCAGCAACAAGTGACTACTGAGCTTTTATCTTTCTTTAATCTAGATTAGATATTCCATAAATAACAGAATAACAGATCCATCAGTTGTCCTTTAGGGATAACTTCTGGCCATGCATGGAAAGACCTGTGTGTGCCAGTGATTAGGACAGCTGTGTCACTGGGCTGTTTATGTCTTCAAAAGTAGGTGGGAACAGGGGAAGGATCATATGAAAAACTGCCCATGGTCATGAAACTTTGTAAAACTTTAGATGTAAAAACCAAAGGATAGCTTTGCTGGCTTGGTACAGCTTGGTTTGCATATTACGTGATAACTGGTCTTCAGGGGATTCCAAACGCAGTTGGTTCAGGGCTCAACCTTCAGCTGTTAGTAACTTTGAATAAATATTATTTTTTGATATTTTTGTGATAAACAGATTTCAGAATACATGTTAGATATAGACTCTAAAAATATATATATATATTTACATGTGCGTGTGTTAACTTCAAAATGTTTGCACACTGAAGAATTGTTAAGTTTCCAGATTCAATGTTTCTGCAAGAATTTCCTGCTATATTCCCCTAAGGCAAAAGAAGAGACTCTACCAAATAAAAGCCTAACAGGCTTATAAAGCAAACCCATAAAACCAAAATGATTTGAAGGCAGGCTAAATATTTTAAAGGATTAAAGTTTCACTGCAGGACAATCAACAAATAAAAGAATCAGCACATTTTCATGTGGATATTTCATAATTATTTCTGTTTGCTTTCTGTTTAATTCATAATATGTTGGACTTGGTAGTAATTTTTAAATTATTTTGGTAAGGGTTGAAGGCTAGCCATATGCTGCCCTCAGTTAGCTGATCTCAGACTGAACATATTGTTTATTTTTTAGGCTGTCTGTAGTTTGTGTGGCATTATGGAACAGAGTTTCAGATGTCAGCTTTATACAATTGTATAAAGGAAACCCATCTGTTATTTTTTAATCTATTTTAATCTCCTATCTAGGGCATACTAATATTAAGAAACAACTCATATTTAGATAATATACTTGAGAAGTAATTTTAAGTTTCTCTTCCAAAAGCATTTGTCCATGGTGTTACTTAAGGCATAGTTTGGTGAAATATTTTAAGAATTTATTTGCAGTGATTTTTCCTTGAGTAGTCACAATTGCAAATAAAGTCATATTTCAAATCTGTCTAGAAGTGACTTTTGAGTAAATTGGGGTAAAGTTGATGCATTTAGCAACTTCCAGCAAAATAGGAAGACTCACAGAAAGTTTCTGGTGTTAACAGTAGGCCAGTTTCACTGAGACACAACCTATTGAGTTGATACTCAACTCAACTACTACTATAACTTCTTGAACAAAAATTATCCCCAAACCTAGTTTGTGGCCCATAATGCTAAACATTTTTTAATGTAAATGAACTTACTGACATGAGCTGTTTCTGCAAACCCCGTTTAATCAGCCCATATTATTTTACTTTTCATAATCTAGCTTTCCTATTCTCTTGCTATGGGAAGAGATGAACATGCCAAATTAGAAAATGGAAAATGTCATTCAAGACACATGTTTATTCTTTGAAAAGATTAATACGTTTTGCTTAGCTCAACTTCAGCTGTTCCCTCTGGACCATGGCAAGTCCTTCCATACATGCCTTAAAGGTTATTTGTTTAGTGCCTCTTTACAGACAGCATATTTAATGTCACTGTGTTTCTGCTTGTCTTTTAGTTCATTCAGCTGTTCGATCAGTAGCACTTGTATGAGCAGAGTCTGCTGAAGTTAAGTTTTACCGGTCCAGCTCGTCAGCAAGTCTTCTTAGGTTGTGTGCATGATGCATAGCCTTTTCTACCAAATCATCATCAAACAGAGACAGATTGGCTAGTTTTTCTTGCAATTCCTTTTTCGCTCCATCTATTTCTGCGTAGAACCCTGACACATTCTGAACAAAATATGGAAGGAAGGAAAGAAGATGAAAATTGTAAAAAATCAAGTCTGTATTTTGATTATTATGTTTTATTTTATCCTTTATATTATTATAATGTTGTTGTTTTCTGTTATATTTGGTTTATGTTACATTTTTAACAGAGCAAAAAGAGGAAAGATCTAATAGAGTCTATCCCATGAATGTCAATGTGGCAAGACAAATGCAGGAAGATAAAAATCAACCAAAATTCCAGGAATCCCTTAAAAAATATCAGAGTGATATGTGTAAAAAACGAAAGAAAGACAGTTGAGAAATGTCTTACTACCTTCTATGTTTGCTCCAGAATGGTACCAATGACAGGTCTTTCAGAGTGAAGTGCTAATAGGTGAAGTAATTAAACCAAATCTTTGCAAAAATCCCCTCATTGTGGTTCTTCTTAAATTGAGAAGTGGAACCCATAATTTTTAATGTTTTTTCTCTACCTCTTCTCTGTAAAAACTGCAGGCCAGAAATTAGTTTTTGAGACTTCTAAATGATATCTATACAAGTAAACTAAATAGTGTTGTGGTGGTTGGGCTTATGGATCATCCTGTTACTGCATGGGCCCTGACACTGTTTTGGCCCTGGCCAGCTGCCACTCTCCCACACCTGCCTCCTTTGGGAATAGCATGGGACAGTGCCTGTGCCCTGGGAACAATTTGACAATTGCTGGAGAGGGTCAGAGAGTTTAGCTGTATGGCTGTGAGCTGTGCCATGTTGTGGAAAATGGGCCTTGGCCCCTTTCTGTCTCCTTGCACAGAGACATCCCTCATGCTAAGACACCTTGGGTTAGTCTAATTTGTAAGTCAGTCCACCTAAATACTACCTGTATGTATGTATAAGCAAGGAGAAGTAGTATACCTTTGCCTTAGCCATGCTTCTTCCTCACATGAAATACTTGTGGGGAAGTCCAAGTGGGCCTGCAGTCACCTTCTCTCTAATATACAAACTTGCTGATATGTTTAAGGATTATAAACGTGGCCTCAAAATACATGAAAAAAGGATGAAACAGAGGGAGGGAAAAAAGATGAATGAGTAAAGCATGAAAATACTTATTGCTCTTGAGGGTCTAAGACATATAATGTTCTCCTACTCTACTATTTCCTTCCCTGCAGTGTTAGAGTCCACTATGGCTAAACTTATCCACAGGAGTGGGGGACCTGAAATGATAAACTGTAGCAATTGTTTTTTGCACAAAACACAGGAGAAAAAAAAACCCATACTGTTTGATTACTCAGGGAAGGTTATAAAGCACACTGTCTTCTCTCTGTTTCTTCAAATTACTTTTTCAAAGAAAAATTAATGACTTTTGGTATTTGCTTTTGTGTTGAAAAAAACTATGGGCAACTATGACCAAAATGGGTATGTGTGGGAATTTTCATTTGTCTTAAATTATCTCCAAATTAAAAAAAAAAAAAAAACACGAAAAATAAAAAAAAAGTGGCTTTGGTAAATATTTTAGTTAGGAAAATCCTGGTTTTATTTTGTTCTTTTTTTTTCATAGGAAGTCAAAAACCTAAAATTTCTAAAATTTCCTACAACACCTTGTCTCATTCAAAACCCTCGATACTAGTCTACAGTTCCAGAAGAGGATTTTTATAAGATCATCTCTTTATATATGTGTTACATTCTGACAGTGGCTGGTTTTAACATTGATATCTGGGTTCTTTAGTCTTCTCCTATGCTCACTTGCAGGCACAAGAAAAGGAATTTAACATGTAGTGTAGTCTTTTACTAGAGCATCTTTTGGCAGCTGCTTGTAATGAAATGATTGAGAATGCTACAGCAAAATCCTTCATTCAGCTCTGCCTAGAGTAAGGTGTCTTTATAATATAATTATTTTTCCAAGGCAGTAAAATGTAATTACAGAGCTATTAATCCAGGAAGATTTATACTTTTTTGGGAATATTCATCAGTGTTTCACTGAAGCAGTATAAAAAAGAAGAGGTTTTTATTTAGTAGTCTAAACACATGACAAGTTAAAAGAATCAGGACATATCATTTAAACAAGTCATGGAGGTACCTACCTTTATTACCTCACTTAACTCAGAGTTGATCATTTGCGGTCCTGCCAAAATAGTTGTGGCACTTAGCAGAATGCCATTCACTTCATCTAGTTGCTCTTTTATTTTCTCATGTTGTTTCTACAAAATAAAATAAAATAAAATAAAATCACATCCAAAACCACATGTGCATTTCTAAAATGCAGTGTTACCATTTTTGTTAAATGTATTAAAGTTGATTCAAAAGATAAAGTGATGAACTAAACAGATTTTAGCCAAATTTGAAGTCTAAGCTTTTCCCAGACATCTCTAATAGTTGCATATTATAAAATTACTCTGCATTTTCTTGTCTTTGTGAAAGAAATGTTGGGGCTTTTTTAATTTATTAATTTCATTTTATATTACAGCATGAGCAGCTATTGGAATGAAGCATTATTCAGTGCACTGCCAGCAGAGACAAATTAAACAGATTTTTCATAGTGGTCTGGAGACTAGTTTTTTTCTGGAGGTTTTTAAAATCTACTGTACAGAGATCTCTTTTCCTTGTCAATAGTAAAGCTAATGTGAACAATCTCTTTTGTACAGCATCTGCCTTCATTGTGAGGAATAATGAAGATCCAACTGGTTAAAAACAGTGAACAATTGCAACTACACAATTCAGGCTTTGCTTCATAAATGTGAGATGAGCTGCAGCTTGGCACTGTAATTATGAAACAATGGAACAACAGAAGAGGCTTTGTACATAAGGATCCCAAGCTGCTTGTAGAAGAATTCACGAGAACAGAACGCCTGATTTCTCTATTGAATTATTAGACCTTCCACATCACCATGAACTTCTAAAGCACTGCAAATTTCAAGAGCTCAAAACTCAGCCACTAGTGCTGTGAAACCTAAGAGGTTGGCCTGCATTTGCAAGATCGTTTGTCAAATCACAAAATTGCTCCCTAACCCCCTCTCCTCCAGAATCCAAACAATTTTCCAAAAACATTTCAAAATTGAAATGAAAACGGTTTGCTTCAAATGCTCCAAAATTGTTCTCTTTGTTGTTTTTTTCCTTGCTGAAAAACATAAAGAGAAAAGTTTTAGGTGGGATGTTCTGGTTTTGCATCCCTTAAAGGAAACTAAAGAAAACAGAGAAAGAGTCACAAAACCGTATGGCTGATGAATTGTGTACTTTTCTGGGATAAGAGACCTGAAAATTCAATTTCCTTGTCAGCCACATGGGATTTGAACCTAATACCACCACTTACAGGCAAACATGCCCCCCTTCCGTGCTGTAGGAGACAGGCCTCCTCTGAGCTTTCCTCTGGAGTGATTACTTTGTTCAAAATACTGAAACTATTCGTTTGAACAGAGCAAATGTAGCCTTATAGCTAAGCTGTTCACCCAGTGAGCAGGAAAACCAGTTTCAAGGTATCTGTTGTGGCGCAGTTAGAGAATAGATTTGTGCTTGAAGATGCAAGGACAATTGTCTGGTTTTCCTGAAAAAATGGGAATGCTTTTTATTTAAAGAGGACTGGAGGGAAAGTTTGGATGAGATAGCATGAATACACTCAGCCCAGGGCATGAATGCAGTGCCGAGTCTTTATAAATAATTGTTTTAATAGAATAGCATTACTTTTGTGAACATGAAGTCCTTCCACATTATAAACCAGTACATAATAGGTAAAACAATCCTACCACTATATTTATAGCAGCCATGCTACACAGAATTTTAAGCTTCTTGGGTTTTGTTGTAATACATTTTCCTAGTTCAGGCATTAGTATCCACCTCTTCCTTGGCCTGCTGAGACATACCATGCCAAAACTTTTCATTTATTGCCACTCTGTGAATAAATAATAGTACCTTATACTTCCACAACTTGTTTTTTTCAAACTGAGGAGTCAGAGTCATCCTGCTGTGGTGATTCCTGAATCTAAATTGTTTGCAATATACTGTTTTAAGCACCGGCAGAGATGGAGTGTTCAAAGAAAACAGTTATGATAAATGTACTGCATAGTACCTCACGCTTTTGAAGATTGCCTGTGTTTTCCTTATTTATATCCTCCGTTTGTATAACATAGTCAAGTGCCTGGTGTAATGCCTCCTCCAGGTCTGACAGCTTCACATCCTGTTCGCTGAGCTGCTCCAGCACATCAGATACTAAAGATCTAGTGTCATTGTACCTCTCGTGAAACTCTTCAACTTGCTGTAGCACTGGGAGAAAAATCAGAGGCCTCTGATTAATCCAAAGCTTGGATTTCTGACAAAATTTACCTGTGCAACAATGTCTGCTGCTGTTACTCAGGGGAAAGTAAAACACATTTGTTAAAAGCTCACTTGAGAAATCATATACCTCCCTCCTCTTTTGAAAACAAAAGAATACCTCTCATTTTAGTATCTCAACCCCATTAACTCCCCCTCTCAGGTTTCTTTTCCTAAAAGAAACTAGGTTTGGCTTTTCTTGCTCTTCGTTTGTTTTTTATTGTCACAGCTAACCAGGCTATTCTGGAGAAGACAGTCCTTATTGTCCTGGGGCTCTGACTCATGTTTACCAAGCTGTGAGAATTAGGCTGCCATTCTTTCCCATACCAGCAACTTTTCTGTCTCTGCTTCAGTTTACTGTCCCTGTGGCAGAGCTGGCAGGGGGGAAGGAAGACATTCACACAAGCAGTTCCAGCCCTGGCACGAACCTTCATCTGAGGTGCTACATAGCACAGGCAGACTCAGACACACAGATATTTTTCTGCCCATTCTGCCACGGGGGCAGCAAGCACCAGTAGAGACTTGGGGCAGGTGTTTGGAAGCAGCAGCACCTTCAGCACACAGTCGGTGCTTGCCAGGCGCCCGCTGGTCCTCCCCAGGGGCTCAGCAGTACATCCAGAGCTACGTGGCCTGTGCCAACCGCGCATCAACATGTGGGTGAATGGAAAACAAACTTAAAAACTCACACTCCTCTGCTGCATTTTCCTCCTCATCTGCAAGTTGCTTCTGATTAGTGAAAGGCTTACGGCGTTTGATCTCCTTCAGCATCTCCTCAGCCACACTCAGCTTCTGGGTGATTTCTTCCGGGCTCAGCTCTTGTTGAATTGCATAGTATGTCATCTTGCTGCTGATTTCTGTGGGAAAAAGAATAGATGGTCAATCCAGCATGGCTACAGAGAAGTAAATACTGTGGAGTACTTTTACTTTTGTGAATCCAGATCATGCTGATGGCAAAAGAAAGTTTTAATTATCTTCCAACTCTATAGTAGATAATTATTATGTTTAATCCAGTCTTAAAATTAAACCTGTAAATAAATCACATTTTCTGGTGTATGTGGGTGTCTCATCAGAAGAGGATGAGATTAAGCAGGCATGGGTTGTGTGTGCATTATTTGTCTTGGCAGTTCTTATAGGCTGGAATCATCATTTTATTCTGAGTTCTGTGGCATGTAGCATGCTGGGGCTTCTGTCCAGAATTGTGGTTTTTAAGTGCTGCTGCAAATATGTTGTGTTTATTAAATAACAATAATGCCAAGGACACTTGAAGTAACCTCTTTTTCCATCTGAAGAAGTTTGAGGCACCCTAAAGAGGTAACATCTGTCTTCTGGCCTGCTACTGCCTAGCTGATTTGGAAACAGATAACTATTTCAAGATTTTGGTCTCAGTTCAAAATACACTGTTGGATTCCTGCAGCTGATATTGAGTTTACCCATCCCCAGTGTAGGCTTTACAAAGCTTGCCCACTTCTCATTCGCTGGCCTTGAATACCAATCACCTCCTCTTTTATGCCCTATGATGTGAGTAGCTTTGGCTTGCATTCGTCACTACTTTTTGGATAACCAGAGCTGGCAAAGCCAGCACTATGTATCTGTAATATTGTTATAAAAAATAGATGTGCAATTGTGCAACTGATTCTTTGTCAGAGTTTCTTTGTATGTAGTTTCTTGCTGGCTCCTGAGCTCATTAGTGAAGCTCTAAAGGCTCATACTGAGCAGTAACTGATCATGACCAGCAGTGATGACACCATGGATTTCTTTTTCCTTCTCATGCTGGCACATGCATGTATGTGTGTGCACACGACACCTTCCTTTCAGTAAAGAGTGGCTTGCCTTCTACAGGGGTGATGCCCCTGTATTATAGCTTTGAGCATGTGGAAATAATTTTCACCTACTTGTCCCCAGCTGCTTGCTGGGTGAACATGCACTCTGTTTTTAGTCACAGCCATGGGTGTTGCTTCTGCTGTGGTGGCTCAACTTGGTTGTGCTATTTGTGTGACAATCTAGATACATGTCTGGCTTCTGTGGTTCCTGCCCTGCCCCAAATCAATTAATAATACAAAAGAAAGATCCACAGAGGTCAACCAGTGATTGTTAGTGACATACAATGAGGCTCATGCTAACACTTTTGCTCAATAATTGTAGAAATAAAATGTGACGGATGGCTAGACAGTCAAAAGTGATTTATCATCACAGGTGTAAGAAGGTAGTACAAATGTAACATCCTATGAGCCTGGTCTCAGCCTGCCTTTGTTGTGTGATGGGATATGTTAACTTAACTATGTTTGTTGGAATAAAGTAATGGTTGAAGCACCCATGGAGATAAGGATAAGCAAGGGTAACAGTTGGTATGTAACTGCTCTCCTTTACACGAGTTGCCACAGAGCTTGCAATAAGCTGTAAGGCAGAACTACTCAGGTCTGTTAATCAAGTATTTCTATTGAAAAGGGCTGTTTAACCTCAAATGCCAGTCAGCCTTTCCATCCTGGTGCCATATACATCTTTTCTATAGCATTGGCTTTGCTAAAGACTGGGGGAAATCAGTGTGCTCTGCAGCACGATGGAGACTTTCATGATGCAGGTGTACAGGGAACAGGGATGCTTCTGAGTACATTCACTTGGGGTTTTATTGCTTTCTGTAGGCACTGACGAAGAGGCTGCAATTGATTTAATCTCAGTTTTATATATCAGTGTGATAATAATATACCATAGATACTCCAGATGAAGGTGATCATCTCTGACTAGGAAATCTTTTTTAAGTGCGGTTGTGCTTGGGAAGGTGTTCACTGTTGTCATTTATCCTGTGATATATAGGACAGTAAAAATTCTTAAAGATGCAAGAGGTTTTGCAGCTTTAAATTATAAAAAAAATCTTGGTCTGCAAAGGTGTAAAATATATACATTTACAGTCAGAAGAGAGGTTGTATTTTGAAATTTATGCTAGCCCTAGAGATGCTTTTATTGCTCTAGCATGTTGCCCAAGGACAGTATAAATCTGCATCACCTCACATCATATGGACAGATGAGCAGGACAGATGAGACAATAAATAGTTGACAATTTCTCCCAATGTTTTAATGTGAAAAAGCTCTTAGTTTCACTCTTTTTCTAATGTTGGGAGATCTTCATCATCATGTTTGCCTCTCCTACTGTGAAACAGCATCACTGTAACCATTTCTGATGGTCTAGACTAGCCACATGGTTTACTATTCTGCCTTTCACTTTTACTAGAGGCAGCGCTTTCTTTGTGGAAAAAGAAGGCAATGAGAATGCAGTTTTCCAATTATACATCTGCATTTCAGAAAAAAAGAAAAAGAACAAGAGGACAGCAGCTAGTCTGTAATGCTCTGTAGCTTTGTCTGAACCCAAATTCAATTGGAAATTCTGGTCAGATGAAGCAGTAAGTGACTTGAAAAGAAAATCACCAGTGCCTCCCACACTGAGCTTGGGGAAGCAGTAAGTTCACCCAATTGTTTACTATTCATCATCCTTTTGTTTTTAGAAGCAGTTGCATGAAGTTACATGAACCAGTTCAATCCTACTGAGCAACAGTTTGCTAAAAGGCAAAAACTGGATTTAAAGTAACACTCACTGGTGTGATCACCAGAGTTAACTTAACTGACTGCCACGGGTTCAAAAGGGAAAGCGCAATTTAAAAAAAATCTCTCTAGCTATTCATGTGGCCTGCATTAGTTATCAGCAGGATGGGAAAAGTGTGCTTGCATAAATCTCCTGACAAGTAAGACACAGAGCACTCTTGTTGCCCATCCTGTGCTTGCATTTGTGACTCCATCTGGCCCCAGTCTAATACTGATTTTTTTTTACCAAAAGTGTATATAAATACCTTGAGCAGCTATTCAAACAAGCAAAGGCTGTAAGCTAAATTAGCTTGAAGTATTTCATATAAACATATTTACTATTACTTTGTTCTGTCAGAGAGAGAAAAAAGAAAGCAAATCTCTTGCTCTGGGCGTCAGATCGAGTCAGCCTGTGGTGTCACTTGTTTTTTAAGAGAGATAAATTTTTGTCATGGCATTGCAGGCTGCTAAAGCCTTATGTGCGGGTTGCCTTGCAAGAGTGTCCAGGTGCTATGACATTTTTTTGCGGGAGGGTTCATTAATACGTGCTTGACACTGAGCTGAACCAGAAAGAAATCTGTTTACCTTGAATGTTATCCCTCATATTACTGAGCTGCTGCACAAGCTGAGCAGCACGGTTGTTGGTCTCCATGGTTTCCTTCTGTACCAGTAGGCCTTTGCTGGATGCTTCATTTCCCTGTGAATAAACCATGTGAGCTAGACATTAGATTTCTTTTCAGATCCATATGCATGTGTGAGGATGAGCAGTGTAAACACGCAGTTTGCTTTCTCCCGATGAGCGTGTAAAGTCTATTTATCATGTAAAGTGGTATTTACAGAGGTGTTTGAAGTGAAGGGCTGTCTTGTCGGTATTTTCAGAATTGCAGAGTGAGAGATTAAAATCTGTCCCGTATTTATCCATCATTTGCTGCAATCAAATTGCCATAAATTATGTACAGTTGTAAAACTCCCATCTGCTGAGCCTCCTAGGCATTCAGCGAGGCTGGCTCATTTTGCTGGTGTTTCCTGAGTAAGCATATAGACTGAAGAACAAGGTGTGAAGCTCACAACCATTTTTAGATCAGTGTCTCCCTCAACTGAGGCCCCCAGCTCTACAACTTGTTAAAATTAAGAAAAAGCAGGAGGATTCAAAATACTCTGAAGAGCATAGCCACCCTCCTATACTATATTACGCTGGAGGCTGTAATTTCCATTGTGTTCCTTTATGTGAAACAAAGAGTTACCATGTCGTAGTTATCTTTCCAAGAAGGTCACTGACTTTGGGAGTCCTTAGATTTAATTTTCACTGGTCTTTCCCAGGAAAGAGAAAAAAATGTGACTGCTGTGTCATTGATATTTCCTGGACCGTGTGTGTGTGTGTGTGTACACATATAGGTCTGCACCTCACGCTTGCCAGTGGTACAGTGTTTGATTCACAGGCCCCATTGGGGCTGCATCAGCAAAAATTCCCACTGTAAAATTAGTTTCTGGGTTTGGGGTGCCCTGACACCTCATAAGCCAGAAGATATGTGGCTGTTGGTCTGCTCACTTCATACTTGTTTAATCATGGCCTCAGGGAGTGCAGCGGCACCAGGAGGCGCTGGAAGGCAGGGCTGGGACAGCCAGTGCCGCCAGCATGGGCGGACACCCCAGTAAAACACATTGAAGAGTTTATAGAAAGGTTTTAATTTTATTCCTATTTACTTGGGTTTTTTACTCTTTGAACGGCAAGCACTATGTTTTTTATTTGTATTCCTTTATTGCTATCGGGGTTTCTTGTGGATGGTCTGTTGCTCAGAATCGCCACTTCACGCTTATTTTAAGCAACTTGTTACTGTTTTTACACACACTTGCCCTTATATAATACTCTTACCTTGCCAGATTTTTCTTTAATGATAGAACATGTGAGGAAGTGCTGAGAGAGTTTTGCTGATTGCCGTGAGATTGCTTGGAAACAGCAGCATGAGTGAGGGGTGGTCTTAGGGACCCTCAAATTCCTCCTGATGTACAGACACTCTTCTTGAAATTTGCTATGAGCCCGGGAAGGAAAGGTGCTTGGCTCCCTCAAACCTCTGCCAAACATTTGGGATTGAGCTATGTGCTGTTTCACTCTAAGCTCATCCGAAGCAGACTCATGAAGTTACAGGTCACATTTACTCTTCTTCTTTAGCAGGAGGATTTGCCTACAGTTAGTGCATTCATCCTGCCTTTGGGGTTTAGATCAGAATCTGCAGTAACCCCTCAGACACAGGGACATGCATGTGAAATGCTCTGAATGGAAGATGCAGCATATCTCTGCAAAACCCACTTAAGGCCCTAGCACCCAAAAGTGCCTTGAAAGAGCAAATGTATTCAGAGTTATTACTGTGGTAATCCTTCCACTGTCGGAGTCTGGGGCCATTATTTCCCTGCCTTTACAAGCAATCACAAGTGTTCATGTGGAACAAGCATTAGAAATAACCAGGGAGAAAAGACCAGGGGAAATGCTGAATTTGTTTGTTCAGGGATAGTCAAACTGAGGAATGAGCTAAGAAATTCCCAGGTGACAAAAACATTATTATCCGAATTCACTAAATATTCCTAGAAAACCAAATGCCTTAATCATCCTGCCTACCAACTATATAGGAGGACACTGAGACGTGTGAGCTCTGCTGGATTTTCCCAGGTACAGAGGGGTGTGTGCATGGGACTTAATTTAATCAAACCTCTCTTGAACACAGGCACAGTCTGTGTAATTCTGCAGTGCCCTTTCTGCTAAGTAAGTGCTGATTAAAAACACCCAACGCCAAATTTTCTCTTCTACTTCTCTATACAATCCTTTCTCCCTTTGTGTTTTTTTTTTCTCTTGCTTGCTCCTGTATTTGAATTTTAGTATAAGGTATAATTTTAGCTTGTCTTGTGAAAGAATTGGTAAGTGAATTTAAAGTCTGGCATTTTGCACTAAGCATGAAACATACTCTAGTCCTTCTTCAGCTGTGGTTATCTCTGAGAATAATATGGAGTGATGTGTCTCACATATATATCTCTGTCTTAGCAACAAAAAGATATTTAATAATATCTCTTTAAAATAGAGAAGAAGCAATTTTGAGCCCTATTTCTCTCTTAACATATATCAGTATTCTTCTAGGGTGCAATGAAACTGTTATGTGAGCTGAGAGCAGATAACCTTAATTTTATAGCCTGGCAATTGAATGTGGATGCAACATTTATGATTACAATTGTGTTAAAATATATCTTGAATGCTGCTCAGGCTCCCATCTCAGCGGGTAAGTGAAAAACCTTTTGAACTGGCCATTTTGTAACATATTTTGAAGTGTTTAATCGGGTCTAATTTGATTTTATGAGAGCATACATGTAAAATAGATATAGTACAAATACTCCCAAAGTCAATCTGAAATAGTTTAGTGTTGGTTACTTTACTTAATTAGAAATCAAAATGTGAAATAGAAAGGCAGTGTGCCCGTCACAGATTAAACATGTCGTGTAGCGGGGGTAGGTGGGAACTCAGATCCTGAGGAGAGGCTTTTTGTGATCAGTGACAAAACTCCGACCACATGCAACAGACTTTGGCCCTACATCTTTCCTTTTCTGGGAAGAAGACTTGGTAGGTCATTTATGCTTTTAATTCAGAGCTAAAGTAAAGTAGAAAGTTTAGAAATAGAAAACAGAAAGTTCTTCCAACTATCTTTCAGGGCTCTCCCCCTCTTGTTTGGTGAACCTAGAGGTTCAGACTAGATGTTAGGAAACGTTTCTTTGCTGAGAGGGTAGTCAAACACTGGACCAGGCTTCATAGAGAAGTGGTTGATGCCCCAAGCCTGTCAGTGTTTAAGAGGCATTTGGACAACACCCTTAACAACATGCTTTAACTTTTGGTCAGCCCTGAATTGGTCAGGCAGTTGGACAGATGGTCATTGTAGATCTCTTCCAACTGGAACGATTCTATACTAACCTCTTATACCAGCATGTGAATATGACAAACCGCAAACCCTCAGAGCTCTGGCAGGGGCCTATAAACAAACCTGTTCATCAAGTGTTGCTGCCTCTCTCAGGAGATCGTTCATTTCATCTGCAGCATCATCAACCTGGATGGTCCAAAGCACAGCATGGTTCTTTTTTTTGGACATTGCCTCCTGTATGTGTGAAAAAAGTCAGTACATCTGAAAATAAATTATTTCTCTAGTGAGGGCAGGGATTGAAATTTACAGGAATGGGGTGGTAACTCATAGATTAAAATTACATTAAAAAATAAAGTGTTATCAATGTTTGTACCTGAAGATGGGTGGTAGTGAGGTTCAGGTCATTCAAGCGCTTTTGAGCTGCAACACCTGTAGAAATGCTCAGTAAAGTCGATTTGCTTTCGTCGATAGCCAGAACTGCTAATCGGATGTCATCTGTCAAATCCCAAATACATTTATCGCAGCCTGATAAGAAAATAACAGGGTGTCATTTTCTTTAGTGTCAGGTAAGAGCAAAGATCTTAAATTCATATTATAGTGCTCTTGCCCCATGGTGTTCCCTCTCTTTATCACTGATGGATCCTGATGGATACCCATTTTTCTTTCACTTTCATCTGCCTACTTCCAACGTCCCACTGTACAGTCATGACGCTTTCAGCTGAGCAGCACCAGATGGGAGTTCTGAGAGGCTGCCACAGTGACTCCATAATCAGTAGGGAGAGAGAGAGGAGGTATTTCCTGCTTATTCCCTAGATGCTCTGCATGTTTGTGGCCTGAAGAACAGCAGATGAGGATCAAAAAAGCAGTTTGTCAGAACACAAAACTGTATTTAAAGTTTAGTGGTATGAGAAGTAAGGATGACCAGCAGATGGGCTCTTGGCTGCCTATTTGATTAGGAAGGCAAAGTGTAAAAACACAGTTATAACATGTTTGGAATACTCTTGCACAGAACTATATCCTTGTCCTTGCTGAGTCCTTGCAATACCATCTTTTTTTTTAGTGACGCTGGTGCCACCACTAAATGCAAGAGACTTAGGTGTACGTGGAACACAGATTCCTACAGAAACTTTTGCTTGATATCGTATAGTCTGTATTCTTGTTGGCAGCAGCTCCTAAACGTTTTCCTTCTGGTTGCACTTGCAGGCACACGACCCCTTTTCTTGGGAGTCCGTTTAGGAACCCATGTATACTGCACTGTCTGCACTATACCACAGGCATAATTACACTAGCATTTAAAAAAATATCAGTGGTTGCCAATAGTTACAACATAGTGCTTCTGGGAACTCCCCAAGTTTCCTATCATTAGAATAGGGGGGATGATAGTGGAAAAGCAACTGACTGATGGATATATGTCAAATTGTCAACAGCAACAATTTAAATTAGATGTACAACTGGAAAATTGGAAATTATATGCACAATGACACAGATAAAGTTGTGATGGCAGTTTTTAGGGCCAGAATATTATTTTGCAGGCACTGTGTCTCAGTCTATAGAAGCGGCTTTGGTCATGATTCCTGACTGCTCCACAGTTTGTACCTACACATTCAGCCTGTACCACAGAGTTGGACATATGCATGCACTCAGTCAAGCAAGTTTAAATATTCAGTCAGTAGGGCATTGTGCATATTCACATGTTTAAGTGACCTGTGGGACCAAGGTCAAATTGCTGAGCTCACTGGAGAACTGAGCTCTTTAGTTAGTATTTGTAAGCATCTAAATACAAGAGCAATATTAATTTTTGTTGTTCTTATGATAATCTTCTTACTGATGGTTGGGCAGTCTGTGTCAGTAGAAGCTTCAGGACTGTCTGCAAGGCATTCTCCAGTCTGGCTGTCACACATTCTCCCTCCACAGTTACATTCTGGGGGAAAAAGAAAGGATTTTTGAAAGAAGACTCTTCAAAAGGTACAACTTGCCTTTCCCCGTCCAAGACTAGTGAAATGATTGTACATAGGATTGTGGATAGTTAAACCAAAATTGAGGACTTCTTGGACTGATTTTTCCTTCAGTATGTAGAAAAAGGTGGGGGTTTTGCACTGCAGTCAAATTGGACAAGATAAAGTATGAGATGGGAAACCGAACCAGAAAGCTACTTCTAAAGGACTTCTTCAAAGCTTCCCAGCTGGTCACAAGCAGAGGCAGGAGGCCAGAGTTTCCCAGCTGAGCCGTTCTGCACCACCGTCTAGAGAGGGTGACATTTAGGAGATGGGCTAAGAAAAGCGGTATGACTGAACTTAATTGTTAGTTACAAATCTCTCCACAGCCCTGTGGAATTTATCAACACCATGTCAGGCTGCCACTAAATAAGCTTTTCAACTATCAGGGATTGATAGTGGACTCCAATTTTATCACCAGCTTGAGCATATCAAAAAGTAAATATCTCCTACCACTTACAATGAAGAATTAATGAGGTTTTGCATTTTTTAAAACTTGAGTAAGCTATATTTTTATTGCCAGCACAAGTGGCTTTTTAAAAAGTATAGTTCTTAATCTAAAGTGTCTCTTTCAAGGTTTAATTGGCCTTTTAAAATATATTATTTTAAAGATTAAAATATTCTTGGAACACTTTGGTAGAGTAACAAAAACTTAACCAGACCATAAGAACAGCACTTATATGGAATTCATTTTGCTTTTATGATTCATGGTTTCAGCAGAATCTCAAATAACAAAATTGTTTACTGCCATTTTGTTGCAGCCCCTTCATTGTTTTCTATGAATTACCCTTGTATTTACATTCCACATCGCACATTTGAAGAATTATCAGAGAAAATGTGTAATACAGATTCAAAGTCAACATGATGCATTAACATTGAAATAATTCTATATAAGTGAACCAGTGTTAGTAGAACTACTCAGTTTTTGTACTAATGTAAGAACAGAATTTTGTTACGGATTTTGTGGGACAATCGATATTTTGACCTCTCTACGATCTGTATGAACTTGGTGCCTTCCTGCTTTTGAATCTACTTTTTTTTTTTTTTTTTTTTTAAAATTTGTTATTTCTTTTGTTATGGAGTGAAAGAAAAATCTCAGTTGAAAGCAGAAAATTCTCTTTACTTACATCACAAGATCTAGGCTATCCCCAGAGAGCAAGATTACATTTATAAGATTAAAATTTGGATGAGACTGGTACTCAAGAAAATCAAATTGTGTCTTCTTATTTAAATTAATAACTCTTAATTTGCTACACAAATGCTTATAGTAAACCAATTTCAAAAACGGTCCTGGCAATTTTTCATCTATTTGTTTAGGAGGTACCACATTTTTAGTAGCGAATTAAAGACTTTCAGTGCTACTGTGGCTTACTAGTGGAGAAAGCTTCTAAATTTACCTTTATTTCTGAGGGACATTTGTGGAAAGCTTTAAAGTGTGGCTAAAGGACATGTGGTTAAAAAATGTATTGAAAAAAGTGGAAAACCTCTGTTCACAGCTACACAGATTTTCTCTTTTGCTCAAAACTAAAAAAGATGATCCTAGCAGGATAGAGCTGCTTACTTATTTAGTTCTCTTGCATTTCTTTGTTCTACATACCCTTTGAGGTGCTCTGTGGAAACCATGTATGCAGACTCTCTTGTTGCTTACAACAGTTTCTTTTCTGTATTTTTGTATTTTAAAAAAGGTATTTGTCTTATTTCAGAATCAATATTTTTAGAAATAAGAGTCCCTAATTGCTCCAAAATGCCAAACAAATTATAAGCTTGCTTTGTAAACTACCTGAATAGTTTGGATATCATGGATGTATTGAGTGGTGCACGCAATCTATGCAATACTGTCAGGTACAGCACGTTGTGGTGTTCAGCAGAAGTGAAGATGAAACGAGAAGTGTGTAATTCTCTGAAACATAATACTTCAAAATCAGGATTTGCTAGAGTCAACAAGAAGATTAAATTCATTCCTAAATAGAGAAAAGCTGTACCTTTCACAACATATTCAAGTGCTCAGGCACTTTTTATTTTTAGCAAAGATTAAACACTTCAAGGAAATCTGCTAATGAAGAGAATTATCAAGCTGATTTATAGTCTACATGAAAAACCTGTATAGATAAGTTTTGCGCACCATGAAATCCCACTTAAACTGTACCTCAGAAACATAAATAACGTCGAGGCACTCTGCCTCTAATTTCTGCAACTCCTTAAGGACGCAAACCAAAACCATACTGAGGTGATGAAAGTTTAACGTAACTTCAGTTTAGAAACACTTTGTTCAGAGATGCCTTCCAGAATTATGCCTCGCATAGTCTGCTTAGACACTAGGAATGCCCTGTAATCCTCAGACTTCTGGCAAATCTGCTCTTAGCTGTTTGAAGCTCAGCTTTTGCACATGGTCAGGGCACGATCGCTACAATTTGCTGAGTTGAAGTACTGGGTGTGTTTCTCCTGTCTCATGTCATTCAGGAGCCACTAACTAGATCCTGTCATTCCTTACAGGAGAACTGCTGTTAAATCATCTCTGGTGAACTGAATTAAGCAGTGCAGTGACTAAACAAGGTTTGCATTTGCAACCTCAAAATCACAGAGAGGTCGAATTTCAGGCATGTTTTGGGTGCCTAAGTCCAGGCAGGAGGTGAGTTTTGGGGCATAGTATTCCCTGCAGCCGCTGTCTTTTTGGCTGGTTTGGATACCTGGGATCGGCTTTTGGGATTACTGTATGGAGTACCATCTCTCCCAGTTCAGTGTAAATGGAATTTAAGCACTTAACTCAGTGATGTGAATTACATCCTGGAGATGGTCACTCAACTTCTAGCTGTCACTGGAACATAGAACCAGAAGGCACCACTATAGCATTATACGCAGTCCTCTGCAAATGAAGACAGCAGCACAAAGGGCACTCGGGTACAGAGCATCCTCACAATCTCCATCCTGCAGGTCCCAAAACACACCTTAGCACTTTATAGGAAGCTAGTCCAAGTGTGCAGTGAGTTGCAAGAAGGATGTAGGTTTGATCAAGACATTGCTAAGACCCCAAGGTCTGTAGCTCTGCACCTTGAGGTTCCAGAGCACTTCAGAGGTCTGGGTTGGGTGCGTGCTTTGGCTGTGTCTTACCTTTGAGTCAGACTGAGAGCTAGGAGTTGTCCATCTCCCCCATTTGTGTTCTGGTCCTTGAGGGAAGGACCCTGGCAAAGAGGTTGGGAGGGACCCTCAAGGTCCTTGCTCTAAGCACCTGCATTTTGCCTTTAGCAGTGGCTATTTCTCAGTGCTTTGAAAAAGGATGTAATCATGTCTCCCAGAGCCAAAGCAAGGACAAGGGGCATAAGGCCAAAGTCCTGTTTGGGTTGAACTCCATGTAAATTAGGAGAATGATTATATTAAAGGACATAAACCTCTGTGACCCCTCTGTGTAGGTATGTTTTGGTAAGATCCTCTGGGTAGCACTTTACCTGACCCTGGAAGCACAGTAATCTCTGGTGTGGAAATACAGTAACCAGCAATATTATACAGATACATGGGAAATGTGGAATACATTACCAGTGTGAAAACTAGCAGAAACTAAGCAGGAATTGGGTCAAGACAGGAAGGGTGATCCTGTTCCCATAAAAAATGCTCTCAAGTCTTTAAGTGTCATCGGTCTGAGTGGTCATGTTGGGCAGCATGTGGTGTGAACCAACACAAAGGTGAAGTCTCCACCCAAAGAAATCTTAGCAATCCTCATTTAAAACAAAATGCAGGGCACAACAGTGTCTACATTCATCCTGCCCAGGTATTTGAGAAGTTGGAGTC